CAACCATATCTCCTACACCCCCCCCCCTCCACCATGTACAGAGGTAGGTTGAAGGTGGCACCAAGAATCCATGAGAAAACCTGAACCAAACAGAATGGCAAAGTTCTTGCACGTTATCCGAAACAAAGGGAGAGAACCTCCCTCTTCCATCACTTTCACAACCCTATCTCCTCCCCCTCCCCCCCCCTCTCTCCCCCCAAAACACTGTATTACAGACATAGTATGAACGTAGTCATCACACTCAAAACAAACGAAATGGAACCAAGGCACCGTGTAACAAACAGGACCCTAACAGAAGAGATTGGGAAAACAAGTAAGAGCAGCTCTCCAATCACTCTTATCCCACCCCCTCTCCCTTCTGCACCCATCACCTGACCCCCAACCGCCATGGAAGATGGCTTGCAGGTGACTCCCATTCACGATCGACTCATCCGTCCAATATAAGAGGACACCCTAGTAATGGCATGAAATAAATAAATTACATACACAAACTTGCTCCAGCCGCCATGACAATAGAGGAAAGAAAATTATAATTGGACAGCGGAGGCGGGCGAAGTATCAGGGGGATGCAAGAAAAGCAAAGATACAAAGAGAATTGGAAGAGATTCCGAAGAAAATGCAGACGGACAGTTGTGCTCACACGTGCACAGATTCATCCTGGGTATAGCAAAATCGCTCACCTGGTGATGCGGGTTGCCACTCGATGGCCAGAGAGCTGCTGCTTGGAGGTAATACCCGGCAGCAACAGAATAGTCCTTAGCCAAACCATTGCTGCTGTGTAGTTCTTTGTATCTGGTCAGATCCCCCAAGTAGATGAGACACCTGTGACAAGAGAGGAGGCACTTCTGGACAGCAGTCATCGAGCTTTTGGCAGCAGCACCTGCCTCTGTCTCCTCCGCTGAATTGGCATTGCACTCTTCGGCCCCAGACCCTCCTCCAGAAGAACTGAAAGGAAGTGCACCCACACCTCGTCCCCGCCCACCACCTCCTGCTGCAACCACTGCCCCGCCGCCGGTCGTTGTGAACAACAAGTAATCCTGCGGCAGGCCATGTTTGGTCCTCAGCTTGTAGACGAGTTCGTGATAGAATCCGGAAGCCTCAGATAGGAAGCTCTTGAATCCAGCAAGCGCTTTCATCAACGCATCTGTCCTTGCTGCAATACTAGCTGACCCTCCGGCTCCCACCGCTCCCTTCCCCACGCCCAACGCTGGCGTTGCAGCTGCTGCTCCTCGCTGAGGAACCGGCCAAGCTCCATTCACCGGTGCGGCAACTCCCGCTTGCAGATGCCGGATTCGAACACGAAACTCCTCGATTCGCTTGTAATGAATCCTCCATATCGCCTGCTCAATCTCCCGAGCCTCCGCAAAGTCATGGTCTGCAAGCAGAATCGCCTCATAATTGTCTCTTATGGTATTCCGAAGCGTCCTTATGTTCGATTCCACCGCCCCTTTCGACTGAATAGCATTTCGAAGCTGCCTCTCCAATCGTTGCGTCTTTAGTGGCACAGTTGCCCCCAAACGCAACCCCCACCCCCCCCCACACCCCACCCCAAACCCGTGCACCAAAGGAGAAAACATACAGGTGATGAGGACGTGAGTCAGATTTTATATTAGTCATTCATCACACCATTCCATCATGTGCAGCACTGCGACATAAATATAGGCAACCCAATCACTCACAACACCAAAAGGAGTGAGTGCATCACAAACTGAAGGGCATTTAATTAACAGAATCAAGTCACCCAACACAAGGAAGACTCGTCTAGAAATGCACCTCAACACCGCAACATAAAGGGCAGAGGATACTGACAACCACGCATATACTCGCAGTAGCGACCATCCATTAACAAGCGAGCATAACTTGCGCAAGTGACCATCCTTGCCGATGATAAAGAGCATACCCGACAAACGAAGCAGAAACCAACTAGAGGTGTACTTGCAGCTGAGAGGGATGATGCTGTATACATTGGATAGGATGCCACGGAGTCATAACGCATTCCTCACAGAGTTATCATGCATATCCGTATAGGGAGATACCACACATTTCCATACAAGGCTCATTACGCAAATTCACGACGCATTCCTCACAGAGTTATCATTCATATCCGTATAGGGAGATACCACACATTTCCATACAAGGCTCATTACGCAAATTCATAAACTACAAAATGAGTCCACCCCATCACTTTTCTTTTGCTTTTTTAATTAGTTTCCCCCTCTCTTCTTACCTTCCAACATCCAAGCAGAGAGGGACACATGTGCAAGATGTGAGTGTGATGCATCACCTGCATTGCTTCATCCATATCACGCACATACTGTCTGTCGACAAACAAATGCATCTACTAACACACCTATCCCATAAGAGTGCCTCGTACGGCTTCACACACCCCTACATTCACAGCCATTCTGTGGTGGATTTCCAACCGAATGCCTGAAGTGTTGTCACTTGGGCAACGACAGTCATTTGCTCACCTCGGTACCCCTTTCCTGGCAGCTGACAATTGATTGGCCAAATCTGCCATTGCTTTTTGAGGGCTTCTCGCCTCAGTAACCCTTTCCTGGCAGCTGACAATGGATTGATCGAATCCGGCATTGCTTTTCGAGGGTCATAGCTTTCACCACTACTAATGATGATAATCTGCGGGTGTTGTCACTTGGGCGACGGCAGTTGCCCGCCTCGGTACCCCTTTCCTGGCAGCTGACAATGGATTGGTCGTATCTGGCATCGCTTTTCGAGGGCCATGGCTGTCGGCACTATTAATGATGACAGTCTGCAGGTGTTCTAAGGGAGACATGAAGGCATCCTCAAACTACGGGAGCAAGATACACTGGTTGATGCCCACGCACAACGAGGGTCGAGGTAAATTATTGCTTGATTGTTTATAGCATAATGGGGGGGGGGGGGGGGGGGGGGGGGGGGGGGGGGCGACAGGGTGACAGGACACCCTCTTGCCGAGTTAATGACATTCCGACCTAATAATCCGCCCCACTGCCTGAGTAAGCCTTACGCCTTGTGTTCTGCTTCTTCCCCAAAAGCCTCAACCGGACTAGTAGCGGGTCCTCTAGCGCAACAATGATTGTGATTTTTTCCATTCTCTATTCTTTTCTTTTCTTTATATAGTAGAAGGAAGTCTTATTGAGTTCCCTTCGAGGGAGAGATAAAAATTGTCCTGCGGACGGGGCGGTCCAACCACCGCCGTCTTCCCCTGCACACAACACACACCCCAATCGTTCCTGAATGTACACAATCTACCTTCCCATTCCGAATGCAGTCATTATGAGGCTGCGCTGCATTCAGGGAAGAAGGTGGGCCGTTTTCTCCAACCAAAGACACGGTCGCCGCACCCGAGATCTGTGTGAACACGAGATATCAATGCTGCCATTGGTGCTAGTATAATTTTTTATTTTTTATTTTAATTTGGACTATGTGTATCATCCTTCCGCAGGGGCCATGCTAATTTTCTCTGTATCGTTCCAATTTGAATGGATGTCCCGAAGGACCTGCTACTATAATTATTAAACAGAGGAAAAGCAAGAAATATCTCAACCAGCAGCCCCTTCCGTCCCTCTCCACACACACTCTGTTCCGTTACAGCCCAATCAAGACGAGTTGTCCTTGCAAGTCATTTATACATACTTTTGCCAGGAAAAGAATCAGGTTAGGTGAAGAGACAGCTATAATGGGCCAAATACAGCTATATTTGGCACATTTTTCAGTCCAGAATACTAACACTACCGTCTTCACCTGAATAGAACGCCTGGTCATTATAGCTGTACGCCCGGTCATTATAGCTGTATTTGGCACATTTTTAAGTCCAGATACAGCGATAACGACCGAGCGTTCTATTCAGGCGAAGACTGTAGCACTTTCCCAAATGTATCTGACTGCAATTTCGGCCCGACGTAGATGAATCTGATTACAATCACGTCCAAAGCTTTGTAGACGAAGTCCTTGTAGTGTGAGTATGCCCTCATATAGGAATCTATCCCCAGAACGCCATGGTATGTAGGTTCCAGGCCACTACAGAGAAGACGACTCCCGGCGCGCATCAGAAAGCACGATATCTTTCCACAACCAATCTTCCTCCCTCCTGCCTCTCTCATCCCCTCGTTACAGCTCAAGATGTCGGCGTTCCCTCAAGCACACGGTTGTTTTCCTCTTGTCTTGTGCAATCCTTTGCGCGGAATAAGCCGTGGAGATGAGGGCAGAGCTCGATTCTAGTGTCAGAAGGACATGGCAAGTAGGAATGCTCAGGCCGCTGCGTGCAAGAGTGTGAACCTGTCCATGGGATCAGCACGCAGGAACACCGCTATGTAAACGTCATCATTCTACCACGTGGCAACCTAAACAGTGGGCAACGTCCAACATTCTGCCACGTGGCAAACGTCCATGTGGCAGCCTACGCAGTACCATTCTCCTGCATGGCAACCTAAACGGAGGTGAACGTACAACATTCTTCCACGTGGCAATACAGAGGTTGGCAGCGTCCATCCTTCTCCCACGTGACAGCCTAAGCAGTGGCAGACAGTCGTGCAGCCACGTGGCAAGCAGTGACAGCCGCAAGCATTCAGCCCCCTGTCTCTTATACACATCTAGATGTGTATAAGAGACAGCCTATGTCCATCCTTCTCCCACGCGGCAGCCTAAGCAGTGGCAGACAGTCGTGCAGCCACGTGGCAACCTAAACAGTGGCCGTCGTAAGCGTTCAGCCACGTGGCAGCCTGAGTATTCACAGCCGTAATCAGTCTACCACGTGGCTGCCTGAGCAGTGGCAACCTAAGTAGTGACAGCCGTAAGCATTTAGCCACGTGGCTGCCTGAGCAGTGGCATACCGCCCATCATTCTGCCACGTGGCTGCCTGACTATGCCAGACATGCACGTGGCTACCTGAAGTGGCATAACGCCCATCATTCTGCCACGCAGCGGTCATCCACCATTCTGCCAGGTGGGCAAGACAAGTGGGGGACTCGCCGGAATAACGGAAATACGGCTAGATACGTTTCCCAATTGACAAGAATATCGGTATTATTAAATCTCGATTATTAAATCAATAAATAGATTCAATACTCTTACTAATGTGGAAACGTTTCGAGCAAATCCCAAGGCCCAAAAGGCTCCCTCCCTGCCTTTCCCCAACGACTTTCCACAGTGTGGGCTTTCCTTTTTTGGTCGACTTCCGGATTCACATACACAAAACCCAATTTAAGTAGTTTTGGCACCAATGAAAGTGAATCTTCCGCTAGAACATGGAAAGATACACCGCCATGTTTTTTGTCGTTTGTGCATGTTGTGAGGTAGTGGAGAGAGGCCATGCTCACACTAGCACAAGCTTAAATGAATCTGACAGTAATTACGGCTCTACTTGGATGTATCTGGCCGCAATTTCGTCCAAAAAGTCCCACTGCAAGTATGCCCTAACAAAATGACAATGCCAAGGATTCTTTGAGAAAAAATCGAGACAGTAATAATGTATGCTAAGCTACGCTGCACCTAACCCAACTGAATGAAGCCGGAACTTCGACCGGGTTCGACCGGGTAATCCACAGAACCAAAAAAAGGAAAAAATAAAAATAAAATACCCTTGAACAAAACATTATTTTCCCATTAATTAATTGATTTAATCATTGTACAATGAACTTCAGATCTGCGGATAAGTAGCAACAAACAAACACGGAAAAAAAAAAAAGGACCAGCAACACCTGTCCGTGTAGTAATCGGATGAGCGGCAACAGTGCTCGAACGAACGACCGCAGTTGAACGACCGCAGCAGCAAGCCAACGAACGACTGCAGTCGTATTCGAACGAACAACCGCAGTAGTAGTTGAACGAGCGACCATGGTGGCAGTAGAATGGTGGCATGATGGCAGTAGAATGGTGGCAGTAGAACGAACGACCGCAGTGGTAGTCGAACGAACGACCGCCGGGATCTGAAAGAACCACAGACGAAACCCCCTGGACCCCAACGATGCCCTCCAACTACAACACACAACACAATCCTAAACATGAAGGTTGGTCCAGATACATTCAAAACTCGCCTAACATCTTACATGTATACCGACCATTATCAGTCCCAGATACACATTTAGATGTCTACTGGAGCAAATTACGCCCCCCTCCCATGGAATGAACATATACATGCTTACAGCAAATCCTCCAGCCATCCCCTTCTGATCGAACAAAATATAGATTTAGATTTTAATGGCAAAAAAAAAAAAAATTCAGACAAAACCACAAAAATCAATAAATAAATAAATAACACATGAGTCGTACACGCGCTCTTCATCTTCTTCACCTCCAGCGATTTTCCCTCCTAATAATAATACGAATGATCGAAATGTCGGTAAAGAGCAGAGTAGGGATACACGTAAATATACAAAAACATGTACGCATACAAATAAATATACTACATACACAAAATTAGATATAAATCCGGCAAAGAAAAAAAGATATAGATGAATATATTGAATGGATATGAATGTATACGCATATATAC